GGAGGAGGAGGAGAAGGAGAAGGAGAAGGAGAAGGAGAAGGAGAAGGAGAAGGAGAAGGAGAAGGAGAAGGAGAAGGAGGAGGAGAGATTGGATTTATATCCCACCCTTCACTACCCAAAGGAGTCTCAGAGTGGCTTACAATCCCTTTCCCTTCCTCTTCCCACAACAGAAACCCTGTGAGGAGGACTGAGAGCGCTCTCTCGAGAACGGCTTTTTCCAAAACCACTCTGAGAGAACTTGTGAGTGACCCAAGGTCACACAAGCAGCTGCATGCGGAGGAGTGGGGAATCGAATCTAAGATTAAACATACGGTCAAGCAGTGAATTATCAGACTGAAAACCTAGCTCCTTGGCAATGGCAGGACCATCCTGTCCTCGTCTGGTGTTAAAATCACCAGCCATAATTCATAGCCTCATAGAATCATAGAATGTTAAAGTTGGAAGGGACCTTGCAGGTTATCTAGTCCAACCCTCTGCACTCTGCAGGAGCACAGCCGAAAGATAGCCCTACAACATACTGGAAAGATGGTCGTCCAGCCTTCGCTTGAAAATGTCCAGCGAAGGAGCATCCACCACCTCCCAGGGCAGTCTGTTCCACTGCTCAACCACTCCTACATGCCATACTGCCACGCCAATATGAATATCCCAAGTTCTCACAAGCACAGTTAACAGGATACCTGTAAATAACACGTTATTCTTATTGGATGAGAATGGAAAAGATTATGGACTGAACATATATATACCCTGTTTCCCCGAAAATAAGACCTACCCCCAAAATAAGCCCTAGCAGGATTTCTATGCATTTGTGGTATAGCCGTAGTGTGTCTTCCTGAGAAAAAATAAATATAAGACAGTGTCTTATTTTTGGGGAAACACGGTATTAGACTTTGGAACTGTTGTATGAACAGAGTACATGGATATTAGTATCTTTAATAAGTGTTGAATATTTATAATATATTCCTTGTAATTTGTTCACGGGTTTTGTCTTGCCTTGTACCCACCTAGAGGTTGGCAACCATAGCAATGAGTGTAAGGGGCACAATCTCACTCAGAATTCCTTGGCGTCTGTTTTGTCCGCTTAACCAGAATCTATGACTGTTTTCTTTTTCAGAACTACAGTGAGCTGATTCCGGGCACAACCGTAGGGACCTTGACACGTGATTCTAGCAATGTTTTGCAGCTCATTTTGGATTCTTATGAGGTGAGCACATGGGACAATGATATGTGGAAGAGTTGTTGAAAGGGTGAAGTTTCATTCCATCTCTGGTTTCAGGCCTAGATATTTTCTTCGACTTTCCCCCCTTTTCTAGAAAATCCGTTCCAAGATTGAGCTCGAGGTGCGCAACTTGCCAGAGGAATTGTCTCTCTCATTTAATGCCACCTGCCTTGATGGTGAAGTTATTCAAGGAGTTAAATCTTGCATGGGTCTTAAGATTGGAGACACGGTGAGTTACCTGAGAAGCAGCAGTGCTAAATCTGTAGTAATTGCAGAGGACTGGGGGGAGAGAGGGAAACTCCACCATTGGTCTCAGGAGGTCAATGCCAAACTAGCATCTCTGTTTTATTTTAACTAGTTGGAGTTTTTGAGGGGGAGTGTCTTTGCAGGCCAATGGTATTGCCTCCCTCCAATGCTCCCTGTAAGCTGTAGAGTCTTGTGAGCAAAAATTCTACTTTGTGAGCTCCTGGCATCAAAGTTGTGAGCGAACAGTTTGGCTGCTGCATAACTTAGTTTGCTCTGGAGCCATCCTTCCTGAGCTAAGACAAAAATGTGTGAGCCGGAGGCTGAAAAACTGTGAGCTATCTCACACTAACTCAGCTTAGAGGGAACACTGCCTCCCTCCCTCCTCGCAGGCAAAAGCAAGTGCTATTAAAAGTATGTTAAAAACAATTCCCCCAGATTTGTGTATAGCCTGTTTGTTTTGTTTGTTTGTTTCCTACACACATAGGGTTGCTAGACCCCCTGATGGAGGCAGGGGTCCCCCGCTGCCCGGCCCCACCTCTCCGCCACCAATCAGCTGGCTTGCAGGGGGAACTTACCCTGAAAAAAGGGGAGCACCACCCGACATGCGGTGACATGTCTATGTCACTCACCATGTGACCCGGAAGTGATGTCATCACATCAGGGATGTCGGGGCAGCACTCTGGTATATGGGCAAAAACTCTATGGTAGAAGCCAAAGTTACCATAGGGTTTTTGTCCAAATACCAGAGTTTCACCCAACATCCCGGGCGTGATGACGTCACTTCCAAGTCACGTGGGCAACGACATTGAAACGTCACTGTACGTCAGATGGGCCTCCATGCT